TCTTAATCTAATAGATAAAGTACTATGAAATAAAAAATTAGACACTGAAGCTTGCACAAAATGTTTATACTATTTACAAGGTCTATGGGGAAAAATTCACCATCTCTGAAAGCTGTTATTCAGTTTTTCAGGAGTCGGTGTTTTTTACATAATCACTAATTGAACTAACCATTTTTTTTTTTTTTTTTTAAGTCCTGTCTTGGAGAAATTTCAGATAATTGCACCAATTCCTCTCTTTTTCATTAGCTATGCTTCTGGATTGAATGTTATTTCTCATGTCTAACTTGAGAGGAAAAAAAAGCTAGCACGAGTATAGGCATTTACACTTTACTTAACTGTTTATATTCCTCTTTTCACAATACTTACAACTGCAAAATGTTGAAGTAAAATCATGATATTTAATGGCAGCGGTCTTCAAAGGTGTGATTTATGATATCATTAAACCTCATATTATTTCACAGACACCTTCATCAATCAATGTTATTTGTGTAGTGGGATGAAATTGAAAAATACCATCACAATGACTTAAGATCATTCAGGATGTATTTGTTGGCTGCCTACGAGTCGTGTTTAGCCAGTGGCTACATTTGAAACATTTAATAGGAATAACGTTGACCTGTTCACTTTATAATGGCAAAGGCAGTTAAAGTGATCTGAAGAAATATCTTTAGAAAATTTGGATTCATAAGCTTTCATGATAAACTGATAGTATTGAAGAGAAATAGGGTTCATCCCTGAAGGCTGTTTTCTCCTATGTTTAGTATATGTCTTGTTTTTCTTTTCTTATTAGGGAAAGGATTGCTTAATTTTCTCCAGGTTTGATGAGGCTTTTCAAGTGTGTTTGTTAATATAATAAGAATACTTGATGCTGAGTCTTTTCTCTGTAAGAACATAAACCGAAGTCAGAGCTTATTCAGTTTGATTCTGCCCTTCATATAAAAAAGGAAAGTATGGATACATTCCTGACTTACTCAAATACAGGTCTAGTATGTGAAACCAAATACCCTTTGTATTTCACGAGGTATTACAAATAGGTAAGAACTTCTGCTGTTACTGAAATAATTTATTATTTCTTCATTATTAAGTATCTTTTGGTTACGGTTTCTCAGAATTTAATAGAGTAATTATCCTACATTAAGTTCTCTTTTGTAGACTGCAGCTGCCAGTCAGAGTAAGCTTATTCTTTAGCAGTAAGAACCTGTTATATCCACTGAATATTGAAAATATTCAAAATTGAGCTGTTTTATACTTGATGCTGTAGAAATACGTTTTCACATTAAACTTAAATGTCATGAAAACCATTGCAAGATTTTCTTCATATTTTATGTGATTAAAGTTTCTAATTATGATGATGCCATTGACAGAAACATTTAAGATTTTTCAGTTTCTCAATCTGTTTAATGTGTTTTATGAATGACATTTCATTTTAATTAGTGATGTACAGTATATAAAGACAAAGGCTACAGAATTTTTTTTTACAATTAAGAATGTATTTTTATCAAGTAAACTTGTGATGACGTGAGAAGTTGGTAAGACCTGCATGTTGTCAATACTGATTGTGGACGTTACTATATAGCATATCTCTCTAAAGCTGATGCTATTGATCTGACTGACATAGTGGCTACTCCTGTTTTATTCTAAGATTTATGCTAGATTAAATGGGGAGTAGTTACTGGGATGGTCTTTTTGAAAATAGCACTGCTCCAGCCGTGCTAAGGGTGCTTCCAGCATTGGGTCAACAATGCTTATGGACTGTCAAACTTTTCCTCATCTAAAATTTGGAGCAAATGAAATGCAATTTTTTTTTTCCTCTTAATAATAGAGAACTGATCGACTGTAACTGTATTTCACAGAATGAGGCATAGGAGAATTTTTCCTTTATGTTTCTAATGGCCAAAACCTGAAGGCATCTGAGAGCTGGCTTCATTTAGAGTCTTTCTAGATTGGCATAATGTTGAGCATGCATTAAATTGTGCATACTGATTTAACAATCAGAAATGCTCATCATCCTCTAGCTCCATCTTTCCTGCCTGCTCTGCCAGGAGGTGATGAGAAGATGTAGTACAGCTGGCTATTCTGGCTTTGAGCCATGTAGGGATTTGCCTACATAGCAGGAATCCCCAGCTTCCTCTTGGAAAGAACACTTTCCAAGGCAGAAGTGCTAAAATGAAAGGCAGGATCTGATTAAACCATAAACTTTAAGCACCTTTTTCTCCTATGTGAGAAATTTCTATACTCATGCTAGACTCATTTCCATACTCACGCTAAGTGCTAGGGGAATCTTTTGTAAGGAAAGAATCAATAAACGCAGTTCAAATAGAAAAACAAGTTTCTTTTTTTGCTAAGAGAGTACGTGTCTTTTATTGCAGATCCAAATATCCCTGAACAAGCAAGGTCTGTGTAGCAAAGTTCTACAGATTCTAGAAAACACCCCTAAGGGGAAGACAGGAAGGAATAAAAATAAGTTCAGTAAATCAATTCAGTGACCCAGTTGATGATGTCAGCCACAAGTTGGTTGTGTGCCAGAGCTGGGTAAGCATTGGCATGCAACAGCAAATGCCACCAAAACTAGCACATCACAGAACTGGGCTCCTGACATACTGGTAGGGAATGAATTAACTTGTTAAATTTGAACCATGAAGGTAGATCATACTACTAGCGTAACAGCAAATTAGTTTTTAGGTTACTTTGCTGTGACTCACTCTCTCCAAGCAGAAGCAGCATGGTATTAAGGAATCTGTTTGAAATGATAGAGAGGCATGTACAGTGAGAGAGAGCAAAAGGGAGTAATTTTCTTTTAAATTGAGGCATTGCCTCATAAAAGAATTATATTCTTTTTCTCTATGTATCGCTTAAATTGTTTTCAAAAGTGAATGACAGCGTGTGTTATTTGCATTACTGTAAATTCTTTGGTAATAAAGTGATTCATCTTGCTACATGCAGTGACTCCAATAGAGATGCAAGAAATATTCTTTTTTGGCAACAATAATAATTAGCTGGTAGGGTCTGTAATTACTGACAGCATATCGCTGCTTAAGAAATTGATGGCTAAAGACATCCCGAACAATTGCGAAATACATCTTTTTATATGTTTTTCTATACTACCCATTGCTATGTCTAACTACTGTAGACCTTGGTCTAATAAACACGTCCATTTAGGAAGAGCTACAAAGAATATTTCTCGGAAACCTTGCAGACAAGGGTAGCAGACATACTATGCTGCGTTGCTCTGTTCCGAACGCAGTGTCGTCGGAGCTACAGCCCGGTGCCGCTGTGTACTCGGCTGGCACAGAGCATCCATTTCAGCATCATTGAGAAGCAGAGTCCCTTCTTCTCACCCCTATTTAAAGACCTGTGGTACCTTCTGAGGCGGTAGAAGCTTACCTCCATCTGCCTTAACCTTGTATTAAATTAATACTAGATCTGTCTCACCGAGAACGGTTATGCTGGAGATCTGGAAGAACTGTCCTCCATGGACTAACGAAGGTCTGCGTTTCTTGCTAGAGCAGTACTTACATTGAAGCGAAGCGTGTTCTCTGAGCTCGGGGAAGTTTTTAAATGAAAGGCCCTTTTAAACCTTAGCTATTATATTTAAATACAGGGAGTATCCCGGTGATCAAAGCCCCATCTTTGTGGACACGTATGTTGAGATTTAGATAAGAGAGGCTTGCTGAGCGTGACGTCCTTCTTCAAGTGGCACAGATTTTGAGGAAGAAAATTCCTTGGAAGTTCATGGCATTCCAAGCAGCAGAAAGGTTTAGATTGCTTATTTCTTTCTGGCATAGTCGGAGAGAGGTAATGTGCAGCACTAAGAGACTAAGATTTATAAGAACATGCTGCAGAGTCAATTGTGCTGTCGAGCAGAGAAATAGTGTAGTAATACAGACCCTCTACACTAATCTTCTGAGGATCTTTGTGCTGTGTGCTGCAGTCACAGAAGGTCTGCTGATCCTGTACAGGCAGGAGGCTTTCGCACTCTTTGTAGCAAACCCCATGTATTTAATTTTCCTTGGCATTTAAAAGATAGATATTTTGTTGTTTTGGTTTGGGTTTTTTTTTTCCTCTGCCATATATTCTTGGTAGAGGTGAATGTTAACGTATATTTGTAATCTTCGTTTATGCGAATATCCTTGTTCGTAAAGATTTCCCAGATATTTTGGGGACTGTATTTTCTTCTGCGGCGTGTTTGCGTGTAGTTCACTTTGACAGGAAAGGCAGCGGTCTCTGAGAGGGCACGTTGTACCGTTCTTGGTGGAACAACTTGAGGCATTTGAACAAGAGAGTAGCAAAAATTTCTGGCATTAACTTCTGAATGTATCCACTGGGTCTGGCCGGGATGGAATTCGTTTTCATAACTGTGTTTTCGATCGGTGACTAACAGAGCGTTGAAAACACGCCGGTGTTGTGGTTCTTGCTGAGCAGTGCTTGCGCAGCGTCATGGCCTTCTCTTGCCCGCTCCACTCCACAGCGAACAGGCTGGGGGTGGGCAGGAGGCTGGGAGGGGACACGGCCGGGACAGCTGACTGAGGGGTATCCCATGCCGCAGGGCGTCACGCTCGGCAGCAAAATCTGAGGGGTGGGGAGGTGGTCACGGCTCGGAGACCGGCAGGGCACCGGTCTGCTTGTGGGAGGTAGCGAGTGGTTGCCGCTGCCCTGTTGTTTTGGTTTGGTTTTCCTTCTTCTTTCCTTCACTTACTGAAGTACCTTTACCTCAGCCGGTGAGTTTTCTCACTCTTGCTCTTCCCATTCTCTCCCCCCACCCCGCTGGGGGCTCAGCGCGCGGCTGCGGGGTGCTTAGCTGGCGGCCGAGCTCAACGCGCCCCAGCGTGCGCTGCGTTTGTCTTCGGAATTGTGTTTCTAATTCTGTAGACAATGCAAAGCTTCATGAAAAATTAAGAATTCCTGTGAGCCGTGCAGCTAGCTGCTGAACGTGAGGGCACTCTGAGACCTTGGCAAATACCTACAAATGCGTTTGCTTTCGTTTCAATTTTATTTTTAAGGTGCCACAAGCAATTGCCCAGCGGCAAAGACCGACTTGCCCAGCCGCCTCTCGTCCTTCACGGGTTCCTTCTGCTCTCCCTGTGGCCCGGCTGCTTGCTCCCTGCTTTGCAGCAGAATGGACTGCCCTTAGCATCAGTGGTTTTGGGGCTTTTTTGGTTTTGTTTTTTTTTACTAAATTCACACCTTGGTGTACAAGAGCCTTTCAGGAATAGATTTATTTTAAGTTGTCGTGGCACCTATAAACCATGCTTTGCGCCAATACCAGAATACAATACGAGGCATACTTATTGCAGAGTCGCAGCCATAAATTCCTATTGTCATTCTATAATCATTATTAAATGCTTATTTACTCTTTGTCAAACCTGAACATTTAGAAAGATCTCTAATTGTAATTACTGAAGTGGAATAATGAGCATGATTATAGATAATGATTGCTGTATGTGTCTCTGTTTTTGCAAATATTGCCAGGGTGAAACTTCAGTTGTCTGAGAAATTCGTGAGATTTTGGGAAGATATAAAATGGAACTTAAATAGAAATAACACTGCTAAAATGGTCATCTTGAAAAGAGTAGTTGCATATTTTTTGATTGTAAATAATTATCACGGTCATAACAGAGACAGCCACTCATACAAATGAATTTTCTGAAATAGTACATACTACATTGAAAACTAAATTAGTTAACCGCTGTAGCATAATGTCAGCTGATTTAATGGTTTAAAATCTCATACTACATTTTAGCAAGAGTGTTGTAAAATAGATTCAGTATTATAACTACTAAGTAATTTTTCACAGTCACAGTTTTTAATTTCAGTGAAGAAAAATTTCATATAGCCAGTCTTACCTTGTTTTGGTTCCTTTTCAATATATGAAAAGAGAAGTCATGTTGTGTAGGAATAAGTGGTAGTTAACAGAGTCTGAAGGTCAGCAGCAGCTAAACAGAGGAATAAAACCACCTTTTTTTTTTTCCTCAGGAAAATCTGACTTGATATTAATTTTAATCTCATTAAAATGTGAAGTTATTTGTGGTCGAGCTTAGATGCATTAATCTTTGTTAATTGCAACTGGGGACTGAAGACCTGTGTAGCTGCTGGCCTTACTGCGTTTTTGAATTAGAAAGCCCGTGTGAGAACAGTGGTAATGCTCAAAATAATTGTGGTTTTATATGCAAAGGAGTGAATTAAAGTAATATTAATGAGGACACTTTGATAGCACTGGGAGTAGAAAGGAAAGAGTAATGTTCTCATGGCACATTGCTGCACTTTCTAAATGCTAAGTGATAAAAGTAATAATGACAAAACAGTTGATGATAATGCATTTTTTTGGTGTGCGTTGATGGACAATTCCGTACTGGGACCATGGCTGAGGACGGCACACGGCAGACTGGGCAGCGGTGAACTCTGAGCATCATGGCAAAGAGCCTTTCAAGTAAAAGAGAAAATTCAGAAAATTTGTTCTTTGCGATACGTGTTTTGGAGATGTTGGAGTTGGAATGTTAAGGTGGGACAAACTCAGAACTGGGAATGACTTTTGCATCATTTTTCTGAAGGACATACTGAAAACAGAGATCCCCAAATCACCTTTTTCATTTAAACTAACAAACTGATTTTTTCAAATGTTCTCGCTGATACCACGCAGTTGCCTGGGGCATCTGTCTGTATGTAGGCACCTGAACCGAAAGCCAAGGCAATACATACGAAAAGCCAAGACTCTGCATTGGTCCCAGAAACAAAACTAGAAACAGCTAATAGATTCATCAGAACTCGCAAACAACTGCATTTCCAAGGAGAAGGTGTTCATGAATCCTTCAGGAAGCTTGTGAACATCTTTTGCTTGTATTCCATTTGTTTGTTTGTTTGCTTGTTTGAGGGTTTTTATTCATTTCTACCATTCAGTTGTAATTTTGCTTAGCAATCATAGTGCAGATGACACTAGGTGCTGTCGTTTGCTTCCAAACAACTGTATGACATTATGTACCACAGAATCATCACATTTAGAATATAGCAAATTCGAATTGTCAGATGGTGCTGGAAGGGTAGGTGAAGAATTCCTGGATTTTTTTCCCAACTCTATATTCTTCTGTCAACTTTAAACGTTTTAACTATTTTTGTTTAGTTGGAGAGTTGCTTATTAAGCAGATGAATCACCTGGAATTTTCATAATTATCCCTTTTTTTTTGTCATTGCCTAGCATGTTCTTTTTGTTTTGAATTTTTCAGGCATGAATACAAGCAAGAGTGAGACAGCGAAAGAGCATCCATTAAAACCCTCTAGAAGATCTATGCCGTGCCTAGCCCAGAGCCAAACACACCCTCAGGGTCTGAGCAAGCATTCGTCATTTCTGCAGCCAAATCGTGTGCAGCCACAGCCCCGGCCTCAGCCTCTAAGTGCAGGGACATCTACAGCTACAGTGGATGTAGTGTCAGAACGAGGTAGGAGGTTTTTCTCTTTCAAGAGCTTGTTCCAACACTGGGGCTGGAAGGGATCTATGGGAACATCATTTGAAGTCCTGTGGTGTCTTAGATAAGATTTTTTAGCATCTTTCATTAAATTATAGGGACATCTGATTAGCTTTGTTTTGTTTAGATATCTATGGTTTGTTGGAGAGGTGTTTTTGCACAAAACAGCTAGAACAGCCATGGTACTGAGTTTTTTCAGTGAATCTCTATAATGTCTGAAGTGAGGCTTACACTGATTTTTGGTTTATTTTTCTGAATTGCAAGATTATTTCCTTCTCACTAAGAACAAGACAAGAAAGTGCTCCCATATGCTGGGGAGAAGAGCATGAAGGTTGCTGTAGTCTGTCCTAGGAGAGAGAGTGAAAATTAATATTAGGCTTTTGGGAAGAAATGTCGTTATGAACACGTAGGAGCAGATGTATTAATTTGTGAATAGCGGAATCAGGGAGGAGTGGTATGGAGAGAATGAGAGAGAAGGGAGAAAATCCCTATGAATTTTAGCTTGTGGTGGACAAAGGAACTACTTTTATTTTAGGATTTCTCTTTTAACAGATAAACATGCCTTAAAAGGGGGACTAGTCTAGTTGGAGATCCCAGTCACGGTGTGTGTCACCTGTTGCCAACTACTGCCATACACTATTGCCAACTGTGTGTGAACCTTTTTTAGAATAAATTAACTCAGCTGGGCTCTGCTACCGAATTTTTATGAGTCCTTCCTTAATGTTGATAGGCACTAATTGTTACTCTAGTAAGGTATTTAACAGAGTTAAACTTCTTTCAGGAATAGAGTGAAAAACTTCACTAAAGTGGTGATGTTCTTTTTTTCCACCAATGGAAAGCGCTCTTCAGAATTTCAGGCTTAAGTTTTTCATTTAAGTCAGCTTTAAAAAGTGTACCTTTTACTTACCGAATACATGTGAATGCTGATATGAATATTGCATTTATTCCAGCTAAAGTGATGGAGACTTTGGAAAACAACTTGCTTAAGCTGTCTAATACAGAATACGGTGATCCATTTTTAGGTAAGTTTATGTTTGAACTGAAATAATAATAAATTAACGATTCTTCAATTACACGTGGAGTATTTAAGTGTGGAAAAGCTATCTTTATCCTGACCCTCCAGGTTTTTTGAAAGAGGAGACTAAATGTGACCACAGAAATACATGCTCTCAAATTTCCTGATACTTTCTTACCTTTTAGATCAACAGTAAATAGGGACTAAAGACAGACAAGTATTATTCATACATTCAGTGTAACCTTTTCCCCTAACAATCCTCCATAATACAGTCACTTGGAAACATGTATTTGAAATTCCTTAGAAATAGTTGTTATTATTATTCAGTTAGTATTATTCCTGTGTAGTCCTGTTATTCAGTATTGTCGTGGCTGCAGTTGGTATGTTGTTGTTTTGCTTTGGAACGTTTTCACACGTGAATATCTAATCTGGAAGAAAAAAGTAATGCAGAAAAATAGCTATAATTTGGGCATATTTGTACCTGCATTAATGCCATTTTGATACTTTAGGTCAAAGAAAGTAGAAAAGGAGTTATTCTTAGAATAGTCCCAGCCTTTTACAATTACAAAATGAGTCTATGTATATAGACAAGTAGTAATCTGCAAGTTCCAAAATTAATTACTTTTGAAACTCCCTGGCCGTGTATTACCCATCTGAAGTACACACAGATTTTGCTGCACCTTGCACAACTACTGTGGAAGATCTTTTTGCTCACAGTTAATGCAGCATCGAACTAGAAATGGTATCTTCATGCTGAAGGAGAGAGATCTGCTTTCTGAAAGCTATTTCCTCTCACCTCTCACATGTTTTAGCATTGATTTTTCTTGCTACCCGAAATATATGATAGATAAGAGGCTCTTCAAGGTCTTCTAAAGGGCTAGCTATTGGAAGTGTTAGTGGAATTGATACTTCCTCCAAAACAAAATCAAAATGTTCCAAAATCATGACAAAGACCAAAAACGTGGCTTGAAGAAAATCACGTGCCTCAGCAAGGTTCCAGTTGAAGCTACAGCATTCTCTTAGTGTAATTGGTTTTGTTGGGTGGGCAAGCGCAGGTACTAGAAGATTTCACTGTTATAATTTGCTTCAATTTTTTTTAATATTCTGTTCCATTTTTTACTAATTGCTTACACATAGACATGCTGATACTATTGCATATTTATGTGTGGCAGCAGTAATTCTTTCTCATAGCAAGTAATGCACTGTTTTTCATTCACATCACCTAGTTGTAACCTGAAAAGAAACATGGAAGGCTCAGGGACTGAGGAAAAGATAGACTGCACCTCATCAGCTCAAAATTGTATCAAACTTTGGTATGGATGTTTCTCTTCTTCTGGCTGCAGCTATGCTCTTTGAAGACACAGAAAAAATATTTAAGTGGTAGCCCTTTGCTAACTTGATTCATTAATTTGCCTGTGTTAAATGAGCCAATCCCAAATTAGATCGCTGAAATCAGTGAAGTTATTCTCTATTTAGAGAAGTGTAACTGGTTAGGATGTTCAGCTACAGGCAAGAAAGGAAACTATTTATAAATAACTCCCAGAAGTCAGAAGTATTTATCGCTTTAGATAAAAATTGACATTATCAGTTAGGTTCATGGAGAGAAATCAGGGACGGTTAAAGGTGCATTTTAAAAAGTGGCCTTTCTGTAAACTTTCAAAATACAGTTTGTTTGCGCTTGAGGATCCTATTTACATGGGTAAGAATTTGTTTCCAAGACTAAAACTTCCCTTTTTATTCTGAATCTAGGGCTTAAAAAAAAAAAAAAGGCGGGGGGGGGGAATATTGCCCCTTGAACTTTGATCACCAAACGGATGAGAATGATGCAGCACTGCTACATGCTTTAGTCGGTACTCTTGCACTTTGATGGAGTTTGCAAAATAGGCTGATTAATGGGTCTCATCTTCTTAGTGAACCTTTTCCAACTGCTCTCCTGAGAACACGAGAGAATGCTGAATGAAGTGAATGTGGTGAATTTTTAATCAGACAGCATCAGGCAAGTATACACAAAATATGCCCAATGGCTTTCTCCTCTTCCAGAATTGTGTCCATAGGCAGACAAACTATCTTCAGGTGAGAAGGGGATTAATAGGCATCAGATAAAAGACTTCAGTGGAAAGGTTGTCTTACATTTCAGTTTGCTATAGGTGAGGCCATAAATTTGTTGGACTTTTTTAGTTAGTGACATTGATGGGCTTATAAAGTAAGAAGATAATGTATTACAACTTTGTTATTGATAACACAGACTAACAGGTTCAAGGGCATTACGGATTTGTGTTCCTTCTCCTCTGTCAGTTGTAGGTGGTAAGTAGAGTTTTTAGTTAGAGGAATCAGTGAATTCAAGCAAAGTAATAGGCCTTGAGATTCTGTAACATATGACATGAACTATGAGGTTTCAGACATGCTGGAATACGCAGTGCTTAGCCAAAGCTTCATGGAAATTCCCACCCAGTGAAGGTTATGATCAGGATTTTCAGATCTTACCTAGGTGGAAAGCACCTGTTGCTTGCATCTGGACATCACTTAAAACGTTATGCCTTGCATTTCTCAAACCATGCTTGTAGAATTTGGTGTTCAGTCCAGAGCAAAATCATATTATTGCTTATAATTACTTGAAAACGCATTTTCTTTTCCGATACACTTATGTTATAGAAGAGTATAAAGTTCTAGTTTGTGTCCTTTGCCACTTCTTATGATTTGAGTTCACAAAATATAAAACTAAGATCAAAGTTCCTGATTCACGGAAGAAAGTTAATCCCTCCAGTTCCACTGTAGCTTTGTTTAAGATTTTTACTCATGAAATGAACCACATAGTATGTGGTTGTAGTTAGTTCCTAGTAGCTACATAGGAACTACATACAGAAAGTCACATTAATGAAAATTTGTTTTCCTCTAGGACTTTTTTTTAAATTCTAGAAACAGAACAGAATTGCAGCCACATGAAGGTTAACTAATGAGTTAGTTTATCCAGGAGCTGCTGCACTGGTGCAGGGGTATGTCGGTGTGCACGTGCATGTGTAAAGAAACAGTAATTGGTAAATTATTAAAATAACTCTTTTTCCTGTAAGGCCATCGTATGCATAAAGGGAATGAATCTTTGCACCATCACAAATTTGGCTGGCCATCTTTTCTAAAAGAAACCTGAATGGAAACAAATGCCGTGAAGGTTATTTGCACTACAATTTTACCTTCAGGAACAGTTGAAAAATCTTGTCAGTAATCTCTGTTAAAATTATAGGAGGTGGTTACTACGTGCCTTTTTGGAGTTTTGAGTGTGCTTTAGACTGAGTTTAAGAGAATTTAGCAGTTCTTTATTTTTGAACCGAAAATGAAGTACTCCGAGGATGTGTTAAGCTGAAGGAAATGTACGTGATTTGCAGGAGAATTTGGTTTTTCTTCTTATCAGTAGTAATTCCCTTTTTCTAAGAAGGATAACTTCTTTTTTCTTGCCATAACCGATAAAAACACTCTTCTAATGCATGGTACAGGTGAAAAAGAACCGTGTAAGGTGCAAAGGCTCACAAAGCCGGTCAATAATATTCCACTGAATGGCCTGAACTTTTCTCAAAACATCCTTTGGGTTTAGCAAAAGGAATCGAATGACAGAGGCAGTATTTGGGCTGATAGGTGACATGTTTTCCCATTTGCTAGGTCCCCTTCAGTTGTTAAAGTTCCTATCATTAGTGTTGCCAGGTTCCTTTTTTTATGTTCACTTTCAAACACTGTGAGCCAGATTTACAAGAGGTATTTCCTACTATAATACAGATTAATGCTTTTAAAAATCCCGTTGATCACACACATAGCTAAGGCATCAAGATTTTGAGGGATTAGGCCACATTGGAAATCCAGTTAGACTAGGAGAAAGACTTGTGAATCTGATAGTCTGCCTGTTAACTTAAAAATCCGGTTTGCTCATTCTAACACTAGTAAACATAGAAGTATCTTTCTGCAGATCCTACCATCAGAAATAGTGGAGGATCATCAGAGGATCTGCCTGCCACTGTTAGGCTGAAATACTTCATTTCAAATTAGATGTAATAAAATGAGTAATGGATAATATAATCAATAGAAATTTGCATTCAGGCTTTAGATACAAGTATCTCATTTTAAGTTATTCAGCAAATTAAACCAACACTCCATAGCAAATAAACAACAGTAACTAATTTATTCTTTTTTCAATTCTGCCTTTTTCTGAATTAGGTTAATTATGAGGGATTTATGCATAGTAACTCATCTTCCTTAGCATGACATGAAATAATTCCTAGATAGGAACTTGATCATGAATGACATAGTTCATGATTTTGCTATAATGGATATGTTGTACTCAGAATGCATCCTGAATTCAGTTGCTATAAAGATTATATATGGGAAACCCCCTTATTTCTGTGCCATGCTACAATGCAGTGCACTGGGAAATGAAGACCTGAACCAAAGTTACCAATCCAACAAAGTAACCTAATAACTGCATGATAAAAAAATTTTGGTGCTCAATTACAGAAGTGCTTGTAAGTGAATTTTGATCAAGTGATGTTGTGATAAACAGAAATGGACAGAATAACCCGTGCAATAAATACAATGTTTATGTGAAAGGAGGGACTAGAAGATGATGGAGGGTATGTCTCAAGAAAACTGGGTTCCGTTTCTGCTTCAACAGAAATGTGGAGTTTTCATTGTGACTTTTAGAAAAATTTTTTCAGAAGCTTGTGGTCCTTAGGCAATGCCTGCATAGGTACGGGCCGTCACATCTATTCTGACTGTGGTGTGAGGTGGCTGAAAGCTGCATTAGGACAGTTTTTCCTATACCTGGTGTGTGAGAGACTTGTCCAGCTCCCATACGAGAGCTGATTCATGCCTGGATTGCTGGCAGCGTGGATGACGAAGCCATGTGATCCGTTACGCGCATAGTGCTCGCTGAAATGTAATAAGGATTAGTCTTTGGAAAGCTTAATATTGAAGTTCAAAATATTGAAGTGCTTTAGGCAGTTAATCTGCCTGAACCAATTCTGT